GGGCAGGCCAGCCAACCTAGCCAGACAGCCAGGTAGCGAGGCAGCCAGGTAGCCAGGTAGCCATGCAGCGAGGCAGCCAGGCAGCCATGCAGCCAGGTAGCGAGGTAGCCATGTAGCGAGGTAGCCAAGCAGCAAGGCAGCCAGGTAGCCAGGTAGCGAGGCAGCCAGGTAGAGAAATAGCCATGCAGCCAGGTAGCCAGGTAGCCAGGTAGCGAGGCAGCCAGGCAGCCATGCAGCGAGGTAGCCATGCAGCCAGGTAGCCAGGTAGCCATGTAGCCAGGTAGCCATCCAGCGAGGCAGCCATGCAATCAGGTAGCCAGGCAAGGGCACAGGCACTGGGGAGCGTTTCAATAAAATATAATGCTAAATAAATACGAAATCTATTTACTACAAAAGCCTCTCTACTCTCTTTCGCCTAAATTATTGCCGACAATTTCCTGTAAATGCCGTGCAAATGCTCCTCTGCAAACACATGTACACCGCACGCACGGTGCCGCACACTCGGACACATAAATATACGGTAGACATGCAGCCAGGTAGCAAGGCGAGGGTGTTTTTTTTTCGACGCTGGAGAAAGCGATTGCGGATTGCAATCATTCAATCAATCAAGCTAGGAGCTGTCTGTCAGCCGGTGTGCTTGTACGCTATCAGATAACCGTGCAGCGCGCATTTATAAAGCTCAGCGGCAACAACAACAACAACAACAAAAACAACATGAGCAACAACAGCACAAACAACAACAGCACAAACAACAACAGCACAAACAACAACAGCACAAACAACAACAGTACAAGCAACAACAGCATAGGCAAAAAAACAAAACAAATAAAAACAACACAGGCAATAAAAACACAGGCAATAACAACACAGGCAATAACAAAAAAACACAAGAAATAACAACACAAGCAATAACAACAACAACAACAACAACAACAACAACAACAACAACGACAACGACAACAATAACAACAACGACGACGACGAGCCTTCTCTCGAGTTATACACCGAGTTCTGCATGACACTTCGCTTTCAACGTTAATGAAATATAATATGTCCATAATGCAATAACTACCTATGAAGTTTCTGACAACGGATTACTTCCCATATTTCCTTCCTATACCTCAGGCCGCCACAGTTCCTCACCCCACACACGCACGCACGGCACGCACGCAACGTAAGCACACGGCGCGGCACGCACGCACCGTCAGCGCAACACAACACGCACGCGCGCGCGCAAGCGGCGCACACACACGCACGCACGCGCAGGCCACACACCCGCCCGCAGCGGCTACACAGCAACGCCACAAGCGCACGCAGCACGCGACATGCGCGCACGCGGTACAGCACACACCACGCGAACGCGGAACGCACACGCGCGCGCGCACAGTTAGCGACACGCGCGCACACTCACACACACGCGCACGGCGCGCCACACGACACGCGCGCACACACGGCACACGCGTCAACGCGCGCACACACGCACGCACGCACGCAGCGCACACACACACCACACACACTAAGCTAGTAAACATATAAGCGATAAGCGCTCTCAGGCCGCTGCCATGTCATCATGGCAATTGGAGATCTGACAGTAGATTAGCCAGCACAGAGCAGTGTCTGTTTGCTATAAGAGCAGTAGCGATACTCAGCAGGCGACGTTGACGTATGTGCAGCGTAGCCACGTGTCTGCTTGCCGGAAGGGGGGGGGGGGCAAACCAGCGGGGC